CAGCACCCAATGGCCACCACCTCAACCCTACAACTCATCATCCCAGAGCTCCCAGCCAATGGCCATCATCCCGACCCTAAAACCCATCACCCCACAACTCCCTCCCCACACCCAGCACCCAACACCCAATGCCCATCACCCCAACCCTACAACCCATCATCCCACACCCAACACCCAATGGCCATCACCCGACCCCTACCACCATTCACCCCACAGCCCCCACCCCACACCCAGCACCCAATGCCCACCACCTCAACCCTACAACTCATCACCCAAGAGCTCCCACCCAATGCCCACCACCCTGACCCCACAACCCCTCACTCCCCACCCAGCACCCAATGCCCGCCCCGCCCCGCCAGCACGCACTTGACGCAGTACATGACGTGGTCCCTCCAGTCCGCCGTCCCGCTGCTGCCGCCGCCGCTCTGCTCCGCGCGCATCTCCAGCCTGGTCCTGTTGTTCTGGAAGTACTGGGTGACGCTGTTGACGCAGCAGTCGGCGCTGGACGCGTTGCCGGGGTTGAGCGGCGCGTAGCAAACGTCCTCCAGCCGCACCGCCCTGCCGTCCTCCTCCACCCAGGCGCTCATCTCCGCCAGCTCCTCCTGCAGCTCCAGCAGCGCCCGCAGCACCTCGGCGTTCAGCACGGAGCTGAAGTTCTTGCTGCCCAGAACCTCCGAGCGATACGGGACCGGCGGGCCGGGCTGCCGCGCCGTGACGATCACCTGGCACGTCCGCATGAACGGCCCGAAGTGCCGGTCGAAGAACTCCTTCTCCGTCCGAGCCCGGCTGTCCGGCGCCGACCAAAGCTCCACCGGGTCGGTGGTGAGCTGCAGCCGGTGCAGCCCCGCCGCCAGCCCCACCGTCACCGCCGCGGCCGCCGCCAGCACCGGGACGGGGTGCGAGGCCACCGCCGCGCCCCACCGGGCGAACAGCCGGGCCACGGCGCGGTGGCTGCCGGCGGAGACGCGCGCGGCGCAGCCGGGCTTTTTGGCGACGGCGATGGGCGCGGAGGTGGCGGCGTCGGAGCCGCCGCAGGTGATGGAGGTGAGGAAGACGAGGGCGAAGAAGGCGAAGAGCAGAACGCACAGAACCAGGGCGCCGTCGGCGGAGCCGAGGAGGAACGGCGGCGCCGGGCCCGGAGGCGCGGAGATGGGCGAGCAGGACGCGGCGCAGTCCTGGCAGCTGCACGGCTGCTGCTCGGCGTCGGGCGACCCTTGGCACGGCCACGGGCTGCCGCTCAGCGGCTCGATGCCGGCGCCGGGTTCGGCGTCGTCGGGCAGCAGCTGGAAGCGGATCCGCAGCGGAGCCAAGCCGTTGCCGGTGTCGCCCTGGAAGTCGAGCCAGCGCTGCGCGGTGCACAGCCGGGCGCCGTAGATGCCGCACATGGTGTCCAAGGCGAAGCCGCCGGAGGCCGGCAGCCGCACGCCGATGCACGACTCGAAGGCGGCGTCGGCGTAGCTCTGCCGGTAGAAGCTCTGATATTCCAACACCGGCAGCCCCGCCGCCGCGCCGCCGTCGGCGACGCGGGTGACGTTGACGAAAAGGCTCTGGTCGGGGCTGCAGATGTTGTTGCAGTGCAGGTTGGCGAAGTTGCGGGCGCAGGACGGACAGCGGGACAACACGGTGCCCGACAGCGCGACCGAGAGCTGCAGGGCGAGCAGCTGCGACGGCGAGCAGCAAACCGGCGTGGCGCCGCCGTCGTCCCGCACCAACTCCGGGCAGACGGAGCGCAGCAGCGGCAGCATCGCGGCCGAGGCGTTCCGCGCCGGGCTGTTGGACAGGCAGGGCACCTCGGCGCTCACCAGCGAGTTGTTCAGCTCCGGGTTGCGGCCGCAGCTGCCGTAGAAGGCGCAGTAACCGGCGCGGTGGATCGGGGTCAGCTGCGCTGCTGCCTGCGGGCCGCGAGGTGCGATGGGCTGAGAGGGCGGCACCGGAACCGGCACGGCGCCAAAGCCAGAGCCAAACCAAAGCCAGAGCCAAACCAAAGCCAGAGCCAGCCCAAAACCAGAGCCAGCCCAAAAACAGAGCCACCCCAAAGCCAGAGCCACCCCAAAAACAGAGCCACACCAAAACCAGAGCCACCCCAAAAACAGAGCCAACCCCAAAACCAGAGCCAGCCCAGAGCCAGAGCCACCCCAAAACCAGAGCCAGCCCAAAGCCAGACCCCACCCAACCCCGATCCAAACGGAAAACCAGACCCTAACCCAACCCAACCCCAAATCCAGACCCGAGCCAACCCCGATCCAAATGGAAAAGCAGAGCCAACCCAACCCAAACCCAAATCCAGACCCAGATCCAAATCCAGACCTGATCCAACCCCAATCCAAACGGAAAACCAGACCTAAACCAACCCAAACCCAAACCCAACCCAACCCAACCCTAAACCCACATCAGCTCAGACCCAGACCCAAATCCAGACCCGACCCAACTCCAATCCAAATGGAAAACCAGATCCGATCCAACCCAACCCCAAATCCAGACCCAGACCCAAATCCAGACCCGATCCAACCCCAGTCCAAATGGAAAACCAGACCCGATCCAACCCAACCCCAAATCCAGACCCGACCCAACCCCAACCAAATGGAAAACCAAACCCCAATCCAACCCAACACCCAAACCAGACCCAACCCAACCCCAAAAGCAGACCTGATCCAACTCCAATCCAAATGGAAAACCAGATCCGATCCAACCCAACCCCAAATCCAGACCCAAACCCACACCAGCTCAGACCCAGACACAAATCCAGACCCAAATCCACGCCAGGCTCAGACCCAACCCCAAAACCAGACCCAACCCCAATCCAAATGGAAAACCAGACACAACCCAACCCCAACCCCAAATTCAGACCCACCCCAACCCAAATCCAAACTCAGACCCAGATCCGAACCTAAACCCAAGCCCAGACCCAACCCAAAGCAAACCCAAACCCAAACCCAAACTGAGATCCAAACCAAAGCTCTCACCCAGGCTTAAACCCAGACCCCAACCCACACCAGAACCAAACCCAAATCCTGACCCAGATCCAAAGTCAGACCCACACCAGACTCGGCTCAAACCCAAACCCAAACCCACCCCTGACTCCAGACTCCAGCCCTAAAACCAGCCCAACCCAAACCCAAATCCACACCACACCCAACCAGTCACTGACCCAAGTCCAAACCCAAGCCCACACCCAACCCACAGCAAACCCGGATCCAAACCAGAACTTGGACCCAGACCCAGACCCAAACCCAAATCCAGACCCAAACCCAAATCCAAATCCAGACCCAGACCCAAATCCAGACCCAAACCCAAATCCGAACCCAAACCCGGACCCTCGCCCTAAATCCAGGCCAATCCAACCCAAATCCAGACCCAGACCCAAATCCAGACCCAGACCCAAATCCAGACCCAGAACCAAAGCTGAATCCAAATTCGTACCCAAATCAAAACCCCAAACCAACCCGAACTCAGACCCAAACCAAATCCAGACGCAAACTGAAACCGAAACTCAGACTGAGGTCCGAATGCAGACTGAAACCCAGCCCAGAACCAAACCCAAACCCAGACCTTCGACCTAAAACCAGACCCAGAGCCAAATCCAGACCCGGACCCGAAGCTGAGTCCAAACAAAACCCAAATTCAGACCCAGATCCACGCCAGCCCCAAAGCAAAGCAAACCCAAATCCAGACTGAAGCTCAGACCCAGAGCCAAGTCCAGACCCAGACCTGAGGCTGAATCCAAACCCAGACCCAAACCAAAACCCAACTCCTGACCCCAAACCACACCAGACGGGCCCAGACAGACCCAAATCCAAACCCAAACTCAGACCCGACCCCAAGGCCAGAACCCACACAAGAACCAGCCCCAACCCAACCCCAATCCGAATGGAAAACCAGCCCCAACCCAACCCCAAAACCAGCCCCAACCCAACCCAAACCCCAAAACCAGCCCCAATCCCAAAGCCAGACCCCAACCCAAATCCAAATGGAAAACCAGCCTCAACCCAACCCCAACCCAAACTCAGACCCAACCCCAAAGCCAGACCCCAACCCAAACCCAAATCCACACCAGACTCAGACCCACCCCAAAACCAGCCCCAATCCAAATCCAAATGGAAAACCAGCCCCAACCCAACCCAATCCCAAAACCAGCCCCAACCCAACCCAAATCCAAATGGAAAACCAGCCCCAACCCAACCCAAACCCCAAAACCAGCCCCAACCCCAAAGCCGGAACCAACCCCAGAGCCACCCCCACCCCCACCCCTCCTTGTCCCATCCCCCGTCCCCACCAGCGCCAGCAGGGCGCCCAGCACGGTGCCGGCCAGCGCCGCTGCCACCATGGTGGGTCCGACAGCGCTGCGGTGCCACCCGGCTGCTGCGGGACCCCGTGTGGGCGCAGTGGGGTGACCGCAAACCTTTAGGGACCGCGAGGCCAATCAGCCCTCGGCGGAGCTGTAAATCCTGTGATCATTAACCCCGATCGATAGCGCCGCCGGCGCGGGGAGGTGCCCCTCTGTGCCCAGCTGTGGGTGAAGCTGTGATGCGGGGCTGAGTCACGCGCTGTGGGCTCTGAGTTTTGTGTCCTGACGTTGTGCCAACCGTGGGAGAACGGCACCGGGGTGGAGGTGGTGCCCGGAATGGGGGAAGGAGGGATGGAGCCCCGCGGGCAGCCGAGGGGCTGCTGTTGACAGCAGTGGGGCCGCAGGGGGGGTAAAGGTGCCCTCTGAGCTGCCAGGAAGGTTCAGGGCCAGCAGGCAGCCTTGATGAAGAGCTGCCTGATAAGATGCCACGGCTGTGATAAGAACCCAGCTGAGGTGGCACCCAAAGGGCAGCAGCCGGGGACGGGCGGCACCGAGCTCCGTGCCACGGCTGGGACTTCAGCCCGGGGTGATGCGACGGGACGGGGACAGAGACGGCTCTGGGTGGGGGGGGGGGGCACAGAGCCCCTCTGGGTGGCAGTGCCATCTGCACTGTGTCCTCGTTTATGGCCCTGAGCGCCGATAATGGGTGGCACTTTGGCCCACGCATCAGCAGGAGGATCCCATGATCCGTCCTCTGCGTCACCAACCTCCCCATCACCA